ATAGGTGTTATGTGGGTGAACCGAGGTGCACTCACAATCACTCGCGCGGCTGCGTTCTGGACTAGCTGAAGTCGCCGGATTGTTGGGGTAGTGTTGGAGGGATTGCTACAATTACATCTACAAATTTGCCATTTCTTTTTTGTCATTTTAACATTTTTATGGAGTTATAAGATAAAATAAGATACAAAATAGGAAAGTAAATAGGAAAACGATGGGGAGGAAGAGGGGGAAGAGAAGTGAGAAGTGAGGATAAGAAAAAAAAGAAAAAGAAATATTAACTTCTGACTCTCTCTGTTGTGGTAGAATAAGGCATTGGCATCAAATCACAACTTTTTGTTTTTTCATAATAATATGAACAAGCCATTTCTATAAAAATCTATCAATCTAATTGGTAAAACCCAAAATCAAAGTTTCATTCTTTTCAACTTCAAGCACAAACTTCAAAAATAGTCTTTCCAAGTGGAAACAAAAATACTTATATTCTTTTCTTTAATCAAGATAGTCCATTTTGCTGTTTCAGCCAACTCCATCAGCTTCTGCAGCCATTCGCCCGTGGTAGGAATTGCAGTATCCTTCCATTTTTGTGTATAAAATAGTCTTTCTGCTGTCAACATACTGTATATAGTAACAAAATTCCAATTTTTTTCTCCAGGTCTTTTTCCAATAGGCCCAAAAAGGATTTGCCATTTCAAGCAAGGAACGGTCTTTTTTTCTTTCTTTGCCCCATATCAGATCTGGTTTTAACAAGAATATAAGTGCATTTATTGGCCCATTTAAAACAATCAGTACTTTTGCATGGAATACATTACCTTTCTCTATATACACCTAAGAGAGAACTTTTCATTGGAATCTTATTGTCTAAAACAATAACAACAGCCTTATAAGTACAACTCTCAGAGCCTTGGTGAGGGCCAGTTCTACTATGTAACAGTCTAAGAGGATGCCCAGAGGAGGGGAAGAATAGCTTGGATTATAGCTGCCATAAGCTCCAGATACCACAATCAAAAATGTATGATGGACGGTCACCGAACTCTTTAAATCTCTAAGATTCATTCTTCAGTCCCTAAACTTCAAAAGAGAACAGGCATGTTTGCTTCCTCCTTTTTTGCCTGAAATGCAATCATAAATTATAGTCTGTCAGCCTCTGCTTCGCTTACTTGCTATTGGCTGCCATAGAAACGGGGAGGGTGGGGGCATGGTATTTGGGATGCAGAGGCGGGTTCCTACCAGTTCGCACCTATTCGACCGGTTCATCAAATCTACCGAGCCAGTTAGAAGAGGTTCCACCAGAGGACTAGGAAAGGTGGTGCAGTGGTTAAATGCAGCACTGCAGGCTACTNCTAAAGAATCCTTGCAACCAAGGAAACCACAGAAAAAACTTGGCGTATTGTAGTCAACTCAAGGTCCAAGCATTGTCTGAAGAGATTGGACAACCATTTGTCTGAAATGCTATAGAGGGTCTCTCTTGCCTAAGAGAGTGTTGAACTAGAAGACCTCCAGGGTCCCTTCCAACTCTGTTATTCTGATATAATAGCTCAGACTTTGACCCCTGGAGTATCTGTATGAACTTTCAACCTTTTGATGGTTGGAGACCAAAGCAGGCACAACTTGATACCTTCAGAATGTTTCTTTCAGACTATCATAGAAGTACAATCCAAAGCTGCCGGTTTGATCCTGTCAACCAGAGAATAGCTACGGTGTCCTCTGACATGTCTATAAAATTCTGGGATATCATCGCAAGGGCTACCACAGTCACCATTGAACGGTAAGAAACCAATGTAGCATGATTTTATAACGAATGTGTTGGCTTTATCTAATATAGCATATTGTATATTGATCATGATTATCTTCTTGCCTTTTGACTGGCTTCCATAAAATTTGAAATTGGCTCTGGATAACGGAAGGTTGGCTTATTGTCCACTTTATTCTAAACTAGCTGGATAACCATGCTCCACTACAAAACTATGTGATCGGGCTTGCCCCACAGGCCCTCTCCTGTCTTATCCCCTTCTCTTCCTCAGGCTTGCCCCACAGACGCCTTTCCTCTCCCTCAGTCTAACTCCTTAGCATCAGAGCATTTTTCAGGCGGGGAGGGGGAGTAGAATGTCTTAACTCCCAGCAAACAGGCTGGCCACACCCATGTCCAAGTGGCAGTTGGAACAGAGTTCTTTTCAGATTGGGAGGAGGAATAAAACGTCTAACCCCTTAGCATCAGAGCATGTTAATAACAATAATATAAAAAATACTAATGATCTGATGGTCATTTCGAAAAAATGCTTTCTTAGAGAGCACCTAGAAGTCAAGAGGAACATACGTGCTAAATTTCAAGTTTGTAGGCTTTACATTTCTGGAGATTCCATGAGTGGTATTTTACTTTTATATATATAGAACAGTGTTTCTCAACCTTGGCAACTTGAAGATGTCTGGACTTCAACTCCCAGAATTCCCCAG